CCTCTCCGACTGGACCAGGACGACCCGGACACTGCTCAGTTGTTTCCTGAACTGCACAATGATTCTGTTGACTGTCGAGAGCAGGATTCCCAAATTCTGCGAACTTCTGACTTATTCCACCATCTGCTTGACCAACTATCCTTCCTCTAACAAAATCTGACAATTCGAGAGAACCTTGAGCTCTAGGCATGTTGTAGCACAAGATAATTAGTGTGAGGACCATTTTCATTTATATAGTGCTCTGCGAACACAAATTAGTTAGCATAAATCAGTTAAATGACGAACAATTAGGTGTCTATTTACTTGTGACCATTCAGTGTACATACATGTACACATATTTCTTACATATATAAATAATACTATAAGTAATTTTTCCTGATTTTTATTTTAAAACCATTGTACTCTTTTATTTGTAAGATATATAAATATAAATAATATCTACAAAATCAGAGCTAAAGAAAAAGCCTACTATTTAGTCTAGTATTGCATAAGTATTATTAATTTCTCTCTTTTCATGATCAGAATAAACTTTAGTGACAACAAGGAATATGATTGATATGAAAATAAATATCTTGCCTCGTGGTTTCAAATTTTGCCCATCATCATCTTCCTCATCATCAGTGTCAGGATCAGCTACATATACCTTACTGGAAGAAATATGTCGCATTGGACCAGTAATCATTCCTGGCAGTGGTGGATCATTATTTTCTAGGAATACTTCACATTCACACAGATAACACCACACACGCAGAGTTGTTAAGTTTAGCGTCAAAGAATGATCAGGTTTTTCCTATATTAAAACAACTTTTTCAATAACTGATTACTGTAATAGTAGTATAATTGTTAGGATGAGCCATTACAGCACAATAAAGAAAGTTATTATTCAGTATATTTTACAACTAATTCAAACATAAGTTATTTTCTTATACTGAAAATATATTTCTGATAGATACTTACCTCCTTTCACATGTATAACTATTCTCGTACAATGCTACACTCCATATGCAAATATTTTTTTGCATGCCACAAGCTTTGAACAACCTCCACCAGTAGGAGTGCGACACACCCTCCTGAAGCATGTGACTTTCTCTATTCCATTCTACCAAATTCTCATTTCGAGATAAAGCAGAAAAGAAAGCACTGGTTTTCAGTGGGGTGGGAAGTTGGAAAGGAGGTAAGTACCTAACGGAAATATATTTTTAGTAGAGAAAAATAACTTCTGATACGGTACATTACCTCTTCTCACACGTATAGCTAGAATTCCACACTGAATAGGTGAAGGGATTAGTGCAAGTGATAGAAATAATTATCCTTCGAAAGCTTCTGAAGAACACTCATGAAGTGTGATCCCTGTTGAGAGAGGAACACACGTGGGAGACAGCACCACTTCTGTACCAGGTATATTCTGCATCCAGTGTGGAAATAGGTGTTGCATACATGGGCAGAAAGTGGGAGGAGACAACCAAAAGAGAGAGAAAAACCAAGTGGGTCCGAATCTGAACCACAATATACCAGAATCTCAATCCCAGTGAAGAAAGACTGTATAAGAACCATCTACAGACAAGAACGTGGGGAAAGCTAAAATGGATGTGCTCCAAGGTATAGAGTGGCTAGGGCACAACAGACCACAAGCAGCCAGTCAACTCAAGTCCAAAACCGACCAGTATCAAGATTACTACTTCTACCTGTGATAGGAGGAGGGTCCACACTGTCTTCACCTCAAGTTGAATAGAGCGGAATTATATACATGTCAAACTAATCTACTAAATGGGGCATGTGTGAAAATTCACAACCACCCATACATCTGGAAATCTGAAATGTGAATGATGGTATGAAGGGATGTGCCAATGTGGCAGTTCACATCAAACCAAATCCAATCCGACTGGAATCCCCAAGTGCAACAACAGCCTCAGACAGGGAAAAAAACTTCTGAGGTGGAGTGATAGAGGGAGAACCATTGTCCCAAACAACATCATCCTTCAGATAGGACCTCACAGAAGTTGAAGTGCATATGTATGCAACATCAACCTCCTGGACCCACTGCATGGAATCACAATAACACATGTGAGGATTTATGTTGATTGGTCCATCCAAAACCACTCACTGGGAACTGACATCCAGGTGATGGTAGGACAAAAGGTCCCAATTTAAGGGTTGAACTGTAATGAGATGGATCTACTCCACAGCAACACCATCCTCTGAATAGCACAGAAGTTGGAGTGCAACGCTAACTTCCTGGTCCCACTGCACAGAAGTGGATTGCTTCTGTAAAATATATGCAACCTCACCCATCTGTAAAGAACTGCGCTGGGTGTAACATCAACATCCATGACCCACTGCACAGAGGTGGAGCACATGAATGGAGAATTGTACACCTTGTACACCAGTAGAACACCACCACCCTACTCTCTACTGAAAGGAAGTGATCACATTCATGAGGATACCTCCACAGTGCACCACCCCAGTGGCTCAGAAATGGAAAGTGGCAAGGACTCCCATGCTCCACTAGAAGAACAAGGAAGAAAGGGTGGGGGATAAAATGCAGTGGAGAATGCAGAGGAATGCCAATGCCAGAGACAATGTAACATGTGAAGATAAAAACCCTATACTGAAAAGCAGACTGCCCCTGATTTATTCAATTGAAGGTATGAGCAGGTATCCCCTTGTACTTTACCCATTTGCTTCATTAATAAGTCCATGGGTTAGTATGGTCATATTAATAAAGCAAATATATCGCAAGGAAAAACAGACAAGTGATTGTGTGGAACACCCAATCTCAACAGTGTGCATTATTGGCTATGAATATATTGTTTTTTATTATTTCATCTTGGCAGTACAGTGCAAGTGTTAGATATAGAAAGCAGATCTGGACAGGCAACTCTCGCCACAGAGCAGGATCCAAATCTTAAATGGGACATGCCCTTGGAGGGAAAAATTGATATAGAAAAGCTAACTTACCCAGTCACAGCTGCACTGAAATTTGAAGGATGGCAACAGGCAAGAAACATTACCTGGACAAAGAAAAAACAGTTCCCCATTGAAGATGTGGGAGATGACCATATGAGGAGTAGGCCACATGCCTGACTGAAGTGCTTCCTCCAATGGTTGACGAAGGTGAGACTCCAAGAAAAAGGGAAGGTGTCTGATCTTAAGTGAAGACACCTAGAACAGAATTCGGGAAGAAAAAGACAGGGAGGAATAGACCAAACAAAGCAGTTGACAATCTCAAATCATAAGGGTAGAAGAAGAAAGGTCATGTACAGATGAACAGTGCCAAGTACTGAAAAGGTGGAAATGGGAACCACTAAAGGAAGCTATGCAGGCAATGGAACAATGAAGAGTACATACTAGACATAGAAGTCTATCTGGTGCAGAAATGTGAAATGGATAGAAGAGAAAACAGTGAGAAGGAAGAATGGCCCTCATGAGCAGCTGAAGTTTTGAGTAGGAAAAATCAATCTGGAAGAACCACACAAAGAGGAGGTCAAAAGAATTTGGAAGGAACATAAATGGAACCAGCTGGTCAAGTTCTGAGAGGGAAAATCAACTGCCAGGGTCTGAAGATGATGAATCAGTGACCAAAAAGAGGTAACTTTGTGTTGGAGTAATGTGGCAAAAGCATCCCGATGAGGAGTACCCCACTGATCGTATAGCATAGCCACCTGGAAACCTGAGGGTCGAGAAACAACTTGGCTGGTTCTTGAAAAATGATTTGTCACAAGGTGAAAGCACCCAGAACATGACATACAAGGTTTATCCACAGTATATGGGCTCAATAAAGGAGGTCCAATGTTCAACCATAAAGGGAACAGGAATAGGAAAATTGGTTGAGGCAGGACAGATGAATCACAGGACAAAAATCCTGGAGAAGGTTGGCTGACAGCCATGATAGCTCACTGTGATAGAAGGGTCAGCACAACCTTGGAGGTAGCTGGATTTCAAGTTATTGGGAAGGAAATTGGTACAGGATACCAAGGTGGAGGGGAAAGGAAAAGGGTAAAATTCCTTGTGACAAAACTTCGAT